TCTTTATGGTTTAAAACAAGCTCCTAGAGCTTGGTATGAAAGATTGTCAAATTTTTTAATTGAAAAAGGTTTTTTAAAAGGAAAGGTTGACACTACATTGTTTTTAAAGAGAAAAGGTAAAGATTTATTAGTAGTTCAAATTTATGTTGATGATATAATATTTGGTTCTACTAATGATGTTCTTTGTCAAGAATTTTCTAAGCTAATGCAAAGTGAGTTTGAGATGAGCATGATGGGGGAGCTCTCATTTTCTTGGGACTCCAAATCAAGCAAAGAAAAGATGGCATCTTCATTAATCAAGCTAAGTACGTCAAAGATATGCTCAAGAAGTTTGGACTGGAAAATGGGAAACCTCATAACACTCCAATGAGCTCTTCAACAAAGCTTGACTTAGATGAATGAGGTAAATGTGTAGATGTTAAATTGTATAGGTCAATGATTGGCTCTTTGCTTTATCTAACTGCAAGTAGACCGAACATTATGTTTAGTGTTTGCTTATGTGCTAGATTTCAATCATGTCCTAAGGAATCACATTTACTAGCTGTTAAGAGAATCTTTAGATACCTTAAGGACACTCCTAGTTTAGGACTTTGGTATCCTAGAGACTCTAGCTTTAGCTTGCATGCTTTTTCTGATGCGGATTATGGAGGATGCAAATTAGATAGGAAAAGCACCTCCGGTACTTGTCAATCCTTGGAAATATGTTGATTTCTTGGTTTTCAAAGAAACAAAATTGTGTTGCATTATCTACCACTGAAGCAGAATACATTTCAGCCGGTAGTTGCTGTGCACAAGTTTTATGGATGAAACAACAACTTTTTGATTATGGAATTGAAGTAGGTACCATTCCTATCAAGTGTGACAATACTAGTGCTATTTGTCTCACTAAAAATCCCATCCAACACTCTAGAACTAAGCACATTGAAATAAGACATCACTTCATTAGAGACCATGTCACTAAGGAAGATGTAGTTCTAGAATTTGTTGATACTTTGCACCAATTAGCGGATATCTTTACAAAACCCTTAGACAAGGAAAGATTTTGGACACTTAGGAGAGAATTAGGTTTGACCAACCTATCTTCACTTAGTGTTTAAAATAATTGTAGCACTTTTAATAAATCTTGAAAAATGATTATAATAATAATTTTTGATTGCATTCTTGCTATTAGTTAGGGGGAGTTTGTGATTCTTAATGAAAATTAATTTTATGTTCAAAAAACAATTAAAGACTAATTTAATTATTTGAACATAATTAATGTTTGATATATGAGTTGCCAATACCACTAGAAAATATTAATTTAGCATTTTGTGCTTAAAAAATCGGATTTTAGCATTTTGGTGCAGAGGGAATCGATCCCCCCCTAAGGGAACCGATTCCCCCTTTGAAGGGGAACCGATTCCCCCCACAGGGGAATCGATACCCCCTGGGGTTCTGCTAAAATCGGACAGAATAACCCCAAACTCTCACAAACCCTCTTTCTCTCTCTCTCCGCCGTTCTCACCCTCTAAACCCCTCAAATCTCCATTTTTGCCTCAAATCAACGATATTAATCGGAATTTGCTTCATAAATCATCTTCCAAACCTGTTGGAATCATTAAAATCGTGCAAACAACATCTAAATCCCCTCAATCTTCATATTTCAAGGTAAATTTTTCTAAACTCTTTATTTCATTATTTTTGAACATAGGATTAGTTCAATTAGTTCTAGGTTGAAATAGTGATCGGGCATTGATTATTTAGTGATTAGAAACTAGATGTTACAACTAATTTCATCAAAAACACAAGAATTTTTCAAATTTTTAAAATTTTCGAAAAAAAAAAAAAAATTGTTAGTATTGTGTTTTGATCAAATTATATTGTTGTTATGAAAAACTATACATATATTGTTTCTCAAAACCATATTTTTCAAAAGCTTTTCAAAAACTTTGCCCATTAGGATTGATTTAGAGAATCTTGAAATATTGAGGACTCATTTGAGTTTTGGGATTAATTGAATTGCATACACTTGTTTTAAAATTGCAGGTTATTATATCTATTCCGATTTCCTTCACCATGTCAAATCCTAAACGTCCTAGGTCTTCATCTAGTCGTTCCAGTCGTCAACCAAATCCACCTCCAAATCCTCATTCTATTCCAATTTCTAATCCCAATCCCACTGATCCTAACTTGACTATCCAAAATTCGTGTTTCAATCATCCTGGGTCTAGAAATCACCGATATTGGTATTATCAGTATTTCGATTCTTACAAAATCCGGGAAGAACGTATTCCTTCTCGTCAAGCTATGTTAGCTATCAATTTTAAATATCTTCCCATTTTACAAGAATGGAAATTTGATAAACTATTTGATCTTGAACCCATCGTTTACCATCAACTTGTTCGTATATTCTACTCTAATGCCGTATGTGTTAAAAACCAAGCTGAAACCGAAACCATAGGAATTCGTTCCTACCTTCTAGGACAATTCTTATATATTGACCCGGCATATATAGCCAATACTTTTGGATTAGATAATGATGGTATTTCGAATGAAAAACAAATCTTAGGTTCTCGTTATAAAAGAAGAGATAGTGCGAGTGTCTTAGACCTACATGAGCGTTTTCTTCATCTAATGATTTCTTGGTGGTTTCGACCATCCGGAGGTCGTTATTCTACTCTTAGAGCTTTGGATCTTTGGTGGTTACATTGTTTCGAAAACCGTATTAAAATTAACCTACCTCAGATTATTTTTGCTGAAATTGTTGAAACCGTAAATCTTGTTCCTAACAAGAAACACTGTTCATCTCTAGTTACGGTTGCTTTTTGAGTAATCTGTTTTCCAAAGCTGGGCTTAGAGTCGGTCTAGATGCCGTTTTTCCTCTTAAGAAACAAATAAATCTTCTTTCCTTAACGAGAGCGGGATGGGTAAAGGACAAAGAAACCGGTGAATGGGTTCGTTCTTCTACTCCGGGAGCTAGTTCTTCACAAGCTCCACCCGAGGCTGACGAAGATCCCGAGTTTGAACAATTAATGAGGGATATTGATGAAGCTGAAGAAGAACCTGAACAACCCGAAGAGCAGCCCGAGGAGCAAGCTCAACAAACGCATCAAATGCCTCCATATTTTCAATCCTTTATGGAGACATTCGATTTCCGATACGCTACCATGGACTCGCGCTTTTCCTCTATAGAGTCTCATTTATCCACAATGGGAGCTCAACAATTAGAGATTCTTCGGGAGATGCGTGCAAACAATGAATCAACCAACGCTCGTATCAATGAACTCACACACGAGATGGCCGCTATGCGAGCCCGTTTTCCTCCTACCGATCCGGATGCTTGATTTTATGTTTAGCTTTAAAACTTTGAACAAAATGAATATTGTTTCAACATTTTGATATGTTTGATTTTGTGGATTGTTGGATTTTGGATATATGAATGGTGTGAACTTATATGTTTGGTTTGTTTTATTCATTTTTGCATCATTTACATTATCATTAGCAATATGACCAATTTTGCCATATCACATTATTTATGAATATTGATTTATGAAACTAATGGCTAACCTCTCTTTTGATTATGATCTTAGCAGCTTAAGCTTATAATTAATAAATCAATTGGCTAAATGATTTACAAAACCTTGTTTTACAATGTCTTTTTGATTTAACAAAAAGGGGGAGAAGAATAAGTGTTAAAGTAAGGGGGAGTAATTTTCTAATTTCAAAACTTGATTTCAAAAATCTTAAAATTACTAAAATGTTTTGTTATATCAAAAAGGGGGAGATTGTTGAAACATTTTAATATTTCGATATAACAAATTAAGTTAAATGGATTTTAAGATTTTCCAAATGATTTTTCTAAGTATATTCGATATAACTATTCGAATATCAAAACATTACTCCAAACATTTCAAAAATCATTTTTGATCCTTACTTAAGTGTAAAATTAAGTTTTAATCATAAAACAATTTCAAAATATTTTACAAAGTATTTCGAACCAATTCAAAGCCAAAAATTCCAGAATACTCAGAGGGAACCGATTCCCCCCCATAGGAGGAACCGATTCCCCCCTGAATGGTTTGGCTCCGAGATTTCCAGAATGCTCGGAGGGAACCGATTCCCCCCCAAGGGGGTACCGATTCCCCCCTTGTTCAACGGTCGAAATATTTGAATTTTACACTTAGGGAACCGATTCCCTATGAGAGGGAACCGATTCCCCCCACTGTCCAAGCTGTTTTATTAAATGTTTTCACACTAAAACGGCTAAAATATCTTCTCTAATTATCCCCAACGTTCAGAAGTGATCCAAGGTGTATTTAAGCAAGCTTAGAAGCCATTGATCAACAACAAGAAACATCAAGCAACTAGAATCAAGAGAGAATCAAAGAGAAAGCATCAAACCTCAAGTTTGAGCATTTCAAGCCCATTTTCATTCAATATTCATTTTTCTTTCAAGAACACTTTTTGTGCTCAATTGTATTCATCTTTGAGTGTTTTTTTCTTTGTTCTAGAATTGTGCAAACATCTTACCTTGTGAGGTTTTCTTGTAAGTTTGCAAATTTGTAATCTTCTCTTTGAGAAAAGAGTGTTCTCAAGAGTTGGGGTATACTCTTGAGGGAATTGTAAGGTTATCTCTTTGGCCTCAAAAGAAAGAACAAATTAGTGAATTTGTTGGAAAATCCTTAGTGTGGATAGCTAAGGTAGTGGACGTAGACTTTGTTTGAGAAAGTCGAACCACTGTAAATCGCTGTGCAATTGCTTTCAATTTTCTGCAAAAGCTTCCACAAAATTTTTATTGCCAATTCACCCCCCTCTTGGCCAATTTCGTCATTCGATTAACTCAACAGATTGTCATGGAAATGATCTTTTTACTGAGTTAAAATTGCTTAGAGAGATGTTACCTAAGGAAATGATGGGAGCAATGGATACATTAAGGTTCTTGAAACGCTTCAATTGCTTTCCAAATGTCACAATTGCATACAAAATTTTATTGACTATACATGTTACTGTTGCTTCTGCAGAGAGGAGTTTTTCAAAGCTAAAGTTGCTCAAGTCATACTTAAGGACAACCATGACGCAAGAAAGACTAAATGGACTTGCTTTAATATCTATTGAGAGTGATATTTTGGAAGACGTTGATATTGAAACTTTTATAGATGATTTTGTTTCAAAGAATGTAACACGAGTATCACGTTTTAAGTGAATATGTAACTTGTATTTTTTTATGGATGTGATGTAAGATGATTTGAAATTACTATTTAAGTGAAGTTTTTTAAGTTAATGAAATTAGTCATTTATTATTTTAGAAAAATAATTTATATATCTAAGGGCCCCTTTACAAGAATTTACTCAGGGCCTCCAACAATCTAGCCACGGCCCTGGTCACCTCCCCATGCCCTTCACTTTCTTGGCTAGCTTCTTCAACGAACTCATCTTTTTCCCTAGCATTTTTCTTTTTCTTTTTGCTTTGTGCTTGGAACTAGAAAGAGAAGGAGAGATGTTAGGGAAGATAAAGAGGGGTGAGGAATTTAGTTTCTAAAGAATCATTTCAATATTTGAATAAAATGGCAACCACTAATGATTGCAATGGTTCTATGATTAATCACCAAGTCAACAGCATAATCTTCAAGGTAACAAATGAACCACTGTCTTATCCCCTTTTATTTTGTGAGAATCTCTTAATCTCAATTCAGTTGATGTTGAGTAGAATAACGATGCAATACGATAAAAAATTAGGGATATTCTTCAATAGTACACTCTAGTTTTGTGTTCGTCTTTATTGAGAATGTTGGGTGAGAGTTATAAATAAAAGAAACATACCCGAACCCAAAAAAACCATAAATTTTATATAGACAAAGGATAAAAGTCGGTGGGAAATGTGCTTTAGAAGTTTGGAGGGTTCCATAAATTGAGAATAATATGATTAGTCAAAGACACCTACTACTATTATTGCAACCTTTTGCCATTTATAAATGATATTCTAAGTTATAAAACCCAAAACGTGTGAGGAGCAATCCCTTTTACACCAAGTTGGATTGGAGAAGTGGCAAATGGCAATTGGTCCAAAGAGGACAAGAGAGAATGGGATGTGCCGACGCTATGTACAAAAACCACTTGGGTTGACTTCACTAATGGCGAAGTCTTTACGAATCCAAAAGAAAAAAAAATCTAATTTTATTTTAGATGTTTCATATAACGTTCAAAGCACTCCTAGATGCTTACCGAGCTAGTTGATAGCGAGTTACACAGTATTTAATTTGTGTTTTATTAAAAATTTTGTTGTTCGATTCGACTCGTTGCTTATTAAGCTCGTTAAAATTTTGCTCGATTTGTGCTCGTTAATAAAATTTGTTGCTCGACTCATGCTTGTTAAGAAAATTTGTTGCTCAGCTCATTGCTCATTAAGCTTGTTGCTCGTTAAGAAAAGTTATTGCTCAACTCGTTGCTCGTTAAGCTCGTTGCTCGTCTCGTTGCTCGTTAAGCTCACCAAAATTTTTATTTTATTTTTTAACTATAAGTAAAATATACTAATACTATATAGACCTTAATGTACACATAAAGTAATAAATTTAACCAAAAAATTATCAAAAGAGTGTATGAAACAAATTCAAAGTCTAAACACCAAAATAATAATCCATAAATATTAAAATAATAATTAGGGTTTGATTTTTAGACGTAGTAAAATAATAATTATTAATTAATAATTTAGTATTTTTAATTATTTATTAGAAAATTAATAGATTAGTGATTTATTGTTTTTTATTATCTATTAGTAAATTAGTGATTTTTTTAATGAAATAGTTTTTAAGATGCTAAAAAGTTATAAAATAAAATTAACGAGTTGCACAATAACTTATCGAGTTAAGTTGGACTTTACTCGACTCAATTTCTTAAAATCTCGAATTGAGTTCAAATTCGAATCGAATTAACCCGAGTAGACCTTTTACCGAATTTTGACTAAATTAAATTCGAACAACTCACGAGCTCCTCTCATTAATCACCCCAAGAAACAAACCCTCAATCGTTTTCAATAGTGTTTTCATGTATTATATGCTCTCTAGAAAACTTAATAGAAAGGGTTCTTGCAACGTGCAAACAGGTTCTTGTTTTATGAGCTCGTCTGGTACTTGTACTTCTTTTATATATATTCTCCAACTAACGGATGACGATAACATTAATAAAATCTTTAAAAGTACTTATTATTTTTCTTGGTAGACTACATCATTAGAAACTAAATTTTGGATTTTGTATCTATTTTAATATTGAATTTTAAAACATTTCAATTTTAATATTTAATTTTAGTTTGCATTTCAATTAAGGTGGTGTACCGTTAAATTATTAATGTTATGATAATATAATAATTATTTCTCATTTATTTAAAAAGATTATTAACTCCTTCGATTATCATTATCAGTCAATTATTACATGTCATAGATCATTATTTGTGACAAAATTGATCGGTAACTAAAACTTTTGTATTTCACTTTTTTTCTCCTCTAATTTATTTTCCATGAAATTTATAGTACATATGAGGCCATATTTTTAGTATGTTATTTGTATTCTTAAAAGAATGTTTCTCATTATTTAACTTTTTAAATAAACACCCTAAATCTATTGAAAGACTCGTTTATTTCTAGCCCTCCAATGAGAGCCGTTTATTGTCAGTGTTGATCGGTAGGGCGTTGATGTTCTCTCATATCTACCAATACAAATTAAGTTTCAAATCATCTAGTTTATTAGTCATATTCAAATTATTATAGTTTTTTATATATTGAAACAAAAAACACATTGGAGTAATTGTAGGAGTGGACATTCGATCTGTAATTGAGTAAAAAAGTTTTGAGTTATTCGAGTTGACGGATCTTATTTTATAACTCAAACTTTGTTTAAATTTTTTTTTCAGTTGAGTCGAGATTATGAAATTCGAGTCGAGTCGAGTTGAATTATTCGAGTTTCTATTTAAATTTAATCGTAAATATTTATAATATAATGGTACTATATTATTCTAATTTATAAGATTTTCCATAATGATATACATATATATATATATATATATATATCTTCATATTTTTTATATATGATATATAAATCATGTAGTATTAAGCGACTCGACTCAAACTTAAAAATTAATCTATTAACAACTAATAATTTCAAGTTATTTGATTTATATTTTATAATTTGATCGATTTTAATTTTTTTTAAGTCGAATTGAGTTCCACTCACTTTTAAGCAGTTGTAGAAATAAGAATCATTTTATAAGTAATATCTAATTAAATGGAAATTGCAGCACGCAAGGGTGCTTGGTCTAGTGGTATGATTCTCGCTTCGGGTGCGAGAGGTCCCGAGTTCGATTCTCGGAGCACCCCTATTTTCGGTCTACTATTTTTTTAACCCAGGTATTAGATGTTGAACCTAGAAATCTAATTCTAAAGCCAAGTATCGTTTTTGCTGCCCCAAAACCTTATTCTCCTCTCTCAAGCAAAATTTCTATCGCAATGAGCAGATCCGGGCAGCCTCCAGATCTCAAAAAGTATTCTTTTCTTCTCTTTCCTTTCCCTGTATTTGTTTTCTTTTCGCTCAGTTTTTCGATTCTTAATTTATATTATTCGTGTTGTTTTGTTCGTAACAGGTATATGGACAAGCAGCTCCAGAGTAACTTCCTTTTTTTCTTTTAATTCCCTCTTTTCTGTTGCCCATTTCAACTTGATGCTTCTAATCAACTTTGTTTACATTCATCTGCTGTTGAATTTGGTTAGATAAGTTTCTGCTACATGATGATTGATACATCTTCGGCTCTTCAATTTTAGTTTGGTTGAGTGTTTTCGTAGTTGAAGCTGAAATGGTTCTAAATCTTGCGTAATAGTTCAGTGCGGATGTCCTCGCTTGTTTGAACATAATTTCTATTTAAATCTTTATTCTTTACACACACATGTAAGTAAGATTTTATGTAAAGGTTGAATTTATGATATTCTAGGAGGGGACGGATTTAAATTTTAGGTGAAAACGTATATCAATAGAAAATATATAAAAATATATATAATAATTTGAAATTTTTAAGGGTGGGGTGACCGCCACTCGGCCACTCCCCCTTGGTCCATCATTGTATATAAGTCATAAGATTTGAGTTGAGATTGGGTAGTGGTCAGCTCCATTGAATTTCATATTTTTGTATACTTCAGAGTTTCGTTCGTTAGAGACTCTATCGTGTGCCAGATTACCAAGTCAAAGCTTAAAGGGTTTAAGACTTCAATCCTTTCCCTTGGGACAGTCCTATGGAATTGTTATGATTGTAGATTTATTCTTGCATTTAATGCTATTTGCCAATACCGATCCATGCATTATTTTGTTTGGACCTTGTTGCTGATTCTATGTTTGCTTCCGATAAATTGGTATTGTGTGTTGCACTTTAGGCCGACATAAATTACTTTTTTGTGGCTTATGGGCTTGATTGTCGATTATGTGTATTGTAGCTTAGTAGTATTTACGGAAAGGAACCACTTTAATTGTGTGAAAATATACTGTTATTTAATGCTCTGCAGTCAAGCTGAATGCCAATCGCATGGTCGTCGGTACGCTTTGTGGGTTTGATCAGTTTATGAATCTAGTGGTTGACAACACGGTAGAGGTGAATGGAAATGAGAAAACTGATATAGGCATGGTGGAGAGTCTCGTATACCTTGCTCAATGTTTAAATTGCCATTCATGTGTATGCTTTCATCTTTAGCCTCATTTTATTAATTGATATTAATCTGCCGCAGGTTATCAGAGGAAATAGTGTCGTTACTGTTGAAGCACTAGAACCTGTAGGCAGAATGCAGTGATTTCCGGTTCTTCGATTGGAAATGCGGAATTCACTTCGATTGGAAATGTGGAATTCACTTGATGGTATTGTAGACATCCGTTTTTTTCGGGGTCGAAAAAATATTATTAAATATAATAATAGTAATAATTATTATTATTAATTATTGCGTTTTACATTTATGTTTTGTAGGCCCGAAGTTGAACCCAAATTTACAAGACCCAACAGCTAGCCCGAAGACCCGGTTTCAACCCAAATTCGAATCCAGCTTCCATTGGCATGCGTACACATCACCGCTCAGTTCCACCAAGCCAATGTTCCAGACGTCGTCGAACCACCGACGAGCCAACGTTCCAGTCTTTGCCGAGCCACCATCGTCATCATCCACCTACAAACAAATCCCACACAAAAATCCATTTAAACCACTGAATATTAAAACCCATCATCCAAATCCCACTTAAATACCAAATCCATTAAAAAACTAAACCCAAATCACTAAACCTAATCCACTAAACCTACCCACTAAACCTAAAAAACATTTACCTACTCAACCACTACCACCACTAGAGGTCATGAAGCAATTGGAAAATTATAAATGGGAGAAGCTCCATTTGAACCGGGGGGAGAAAAAAAACAAAGGGGGTCGAGCATTGGGTTTATAGCAACTTTGTTCTTCAATATTTAGGGTAAATCACGGTTTGATCCATGCCCTATAAATCACCGTGCTTTTCATTTCTTCAAGGTAAAATCACTGTTTAAGTCCCTTTGTTTTTGTAAGGTTATCCTTTTAAGTCATTGAATGAAATTATTTTCTCTTGATTCGATCCTCAAATTTCTTTGTATTTGCATTTTAATCATTATACGATTTGTTGTATGTATATTTTGGTTAATGTTTTTTTGGGGCTATATGTTTATGTTTTAGTATATTTTGATACTAGTCTATGCATTCATGAATCCATCTATATTTATCACTTAGTTTTTTAGGCTTTCTTGTCTCCTATTTTAGTTCATAAGTATTGTGTTGTAAAATAATTGTTGATCTTATATTTTAATTTTGAACCAAGTATACCGTGATTTGCTTTTCATTTTTTATATCCATGTATCTATATAGATTAGTCTGCTTTATATATTAGTGGTTTCATATAAAGACATTTTAGGCACTATATGCACGTGTCTTTTGATGTTTTTTTTTTGTACTTAGCATATATATTCATTTATGCTATATATTTCATATTTACGAATTCGTTTACAGATCTTATTTTGTTTGAAAATAATTTTGTATGTTAGTATTTAAAATATTTTTTTTTGTTATTCGAATATTTTTAAAAAACACATTTATATAATGGACGTGAAGAGTATTGCTTGATCGAAACAGTGTAATTCAATACGACATTCGAACTAACGTGAACTTGAAATAAATCGAGTTTGTTTTATTAATTTGTGTAAAAGGATTTTCTGTAAATAATTAACTTGAAGTAAATTAATCAATATTCAATAAATGGATCATATCTTAACTTTATATTCGATTCAATATTTCCACTATTACGACAACGTGTAAGCGACATAGTACCAATTTTGGGCGTCGTGGGGGTGCTAATACTTTCCCACGCGTAACCGACTCCCGAACCTATTTTAATTGAATCTTTGTTAAACGCATACCACTTTTGTCTTAAAAATGATTTTTCTTAAAATTGTTTTAAAAAAATGTTTTTAGGTATTCGACCTACCTAGCCCAAAGGTCGATGGCGACTCCAACCCATTTTAATTCAAATCAATTCAAAATCACCAATTTTTCCAAAATAAAGTCGTAACAATTTTTAAAATAATAAATAATTGTTCCACCTTTAAAAATGGTTATGACAGCTTGACGACTATGATAGGGACTTTTTTAGAGAGTCAAGCTGTAAGTCGCTTACACATTGTCGTTTGGTGGAAATTATGAGTTCGAGTCTTTAGTTAACTTATGATCCTTTTATTGAAGTTTTTAATTGCTTCATTTTATTATTGTCTTACTAACATTTTTATCTTTGCTTTCAGTCAGTTCAAGTTTTTGTGGAGTTGTTTTATTTCCCTCTTGAGTCAAAGGTTTGAATGTTCCTCCTTACACACATCACGTGCATTTGCATAACATGAGCTCTAGACCCGAGCTTCAATCCAAATTAGTCGGGGTGAATGCTTTACTCTCGTAAGAATTTATTCTTCGTATGAGTTTTAGCAAATAACCCATGGGATACATACCTTATACATTCATAGGGATTTATTCCTCGTATGGGTATAAGGTAGTGAATCCCCTCGAATTGGACTCATTCCGTTCGAAACCTGTAATGGGTGAGGATCGAGGGTTTGGCAGCCCAAGGGGGCACCGACATCAAGGACAATTCGAGTACCTTTTCCTGATAGAGCCATAACTATGCATATAGTGAACCATAGAACGGTCACCCTAGGTATAGACATATCGAACCTCTGCCTGTCAGTAGGTATCCAAAGTAAGTGTACACAAAGGAGGAGTGTTTCTAAACCTTTTTATTTTGCTTTAAATTCGTAGAATATATTTTATTTTTGTTGAATAAAATAATGTGAACTAAATACCATGCGGTTAGGATTAACTTCTTGAAAAATCATTTTGGGTAGATATCATGTCCGGGTAGGAATGTTATTTAATTAAAGCATGTTCGGGTATATACCATGACGGGGTAGGTGTTTGATTCATCTTTGAATAACTTTTTTATCTGTATCGATTATCTTACCTGTGCTAACTAATTTCTTTTGTTTAGTTTGTGTACACTAACTTATTTCTTTTCTTTTGTTTGTGTCATTTTTCATCTTTCTTTGCATTGCATTTGCAATGCATCAACATAACATAATGCAAAAGTGTTGATTCGCAAGGGGATACTCAAGTATAAATTTTTCACAAGAAGAGAAAAAAAATTCAATCAAGCAGTAACGTACACAGACATGCGCCAAGGGCTACGAGAAGTCCAGAATACCAAAATAAGACTTGTTTGAAGATCTTGCAACATTTAAGATTTGAAAACTAATCCAAGAAGTAATCCAACAGTAGAGTCTTATCTATGATCATCTCATAACTAGCCTTCAAGGAGCGACGTACTGACTTCAGCACCTCCGAGGCATTAATGGAGTTAGTCTACAAAGCATTGGGGGGCATCAGTTCCAAATACGAAGATCTAATACAAAGCAGTGAGCTTGAAGATCGTGCAACATTCAATAATGAAATGACGATCCACTAATCCAAGGAGTAGCCCAATAATAGATTTTTATCTATGATCATTTCATCGTTAACTATTAAAGATTAATGCACTTCAGCATCACCAGGGCATTAACAGAGTTGTGATACAAAGCGCTTGAGGGACATCATTTTCAAGGACGAAGACCTAAGATGAAATGGCGATCCAATTCTGACTCAACATCTAAGCGAAGTCATTTCTATAAAATGAACTGTGTTATAATGTGAAAGCTTTTATTTCTGGTGAAAATTATTCTACAATATCCATCGTTGGGCTCAACATTTTTGCATCTTCATTTGCATCTTTGCATTTTGCATCTGCATTTCATTTTTAAGCGTTTTCATAGAAAAACATGGAGCTAATTCATGAAGGATTCTATAAAGTGGTCCTAACAATATGACACTACATGGAAGCAAGAAGTTGAAATCAGTACAGTTGGAGCTTGTTCAGCTGGTTGTAGGACTGAGCCTTCCATAATGATCTGAGAAAAGAGCCCCCATATCCCGAGGACTACGATGTTGATCTCATGTAGGAATCTAATGACATTCATCTGAGAACTATAAGGCACTGAAGCGTAAGATCCAAAACCTGATGGATTCAGGGGCATGAACAATCGAAGAAGGATGAGGGCATGTCATCTACCACATTGCAATAAGAGCATTATTTTGTTTGATCACGTTTTTGTTATGTCTTTTATATTTGTTTAATCTTTTAAACGACTGAACTTATGCTACCTTTTAAGGTTGAATAATTGAGCAAAATTTAATATTTAGTTATTTGAATATCAGATAAATTATGGATTCTTTTAATTCTTCAAGAATTATAGATTTATGACATATAGCAAGATCAAACCTTTCTAATCCCGTCTAAAAATCCGTTGATTATTTTCACCTAGAATAATTCATGGATACACAAAGAGTCATACCCATACCTTCCTTTGAGTCAATAAAGTCGCACCATAGTCTTTTTAGACGCGACATTCTTTTACCAATAAAACCTAAGGCATTGAGTTGTTCACTTGAGCATGAACATTCCTACCAGAAGACACAACTTGGGGCATCTCGCATCAACTTTCTGAAGATGAGCCTAAACAATTCAGACATGCTGGGAGAAAGAAGCAGAAAGGAGAATTACTTCGAAATAATTCTATCATGCATTAATTACATTGTTTTCATGTGAATATAAGTAATCCTGAAAATCTATCCCCCAGGGGATACCTATTCTACGAGGACTTCTATGTATGAGATGATGAACTACTTTGTTTCATTTTCCATATATGTATATATATATCCCTTGTTGTCCCCTTTTGAGCCTATAGTATTTTTTCTTCTGATTCAACCCTAACCAAGGATCACCCTCCACACTGGGGGGAAAGGTGGAAGAAATCTGCTCACATGAGTGAAGACATCAATCCAGAGGAGATATCAAAAGGTGAATCAAATGTCAAGTGCGAAGATCCAATCATAGCAAAAAGAGAAAAAATGAAAAAATTAAAGCAAAGAGAATAAAAAAGAGCAAAAAGAGCAAAAAAAAAAGAAAAAGAAAAGAAAAGAAAAAGAACAAAAAAGGAAAAAGAAAAAGTAAAGAAAAAGGGATGAGAATAGCGCATCAAGCTTCAAACTATGAGATTGATTCAGCATAATTATTCCAGAATCACTTAACTCGAAGATCATGGAGCATTCAGAGAACATCAAGAGAAAGACATTCAAGCATATTCAAATTGAGCAAGAATAGGATTGAAAGCATCAGAAGGAATTGATCATTGGTTCAATACCCTTAAACACTTATTTGGGCCTACTTATCATTTCTTTCATAACCATGAACCATGGCCTACATTACGTGCCTTAAAAAGTCCCTTCTAATCATACATGAATTTCTAAACAGAAGAGATTATCTTCAGATTTCATCCCGTACATCAGGATTAATCTTTATTTGCAAAATATTTTCTAAAATCTTTAATGCATGATAGATAAAGGGGATTCGAGAAGTAAATTTTGAATAACGTTTTGAAACCAAATGAGGATTCGAGTTGAAAACCTGAAAAGACAGCTCGAATATAAAAATGGTGCAGCTGAGGCGATCACACAAATTCCTTTATAAGGCATTGCACAATCCGAGTGTGACCATGAGAGCTGGGAGCCGTAAAACACTTCCAGTAGATGAGCATACGAGCTAGCCCATCAGATCAGTGAACATCAAAGAAATAAGAAGGCCAAACCATTGACCAAACATAATAACCTGAGACTCTCTTATCCTTACCTTACTTAACCATTTTCCAAAGATAGCTTTGATCTTGACACTTGTCAAAAAACTATAATTTATTGAAGGATTAACAGTGTAATTAATTCTTTGATATCCAATGAACTTCTGTTTTATGATTTGTCAATTGTAAAACATAGAAAGGGGCAATATTTTCAAATCTTTGATTAAACATTTTCAAAACTCTTCTAATTGATATTTTCAAAACTTTTGAAAATAAAAAAAGAGAAGA